GAACATCCTGAAAAATGATACCAAAGTCAGGACAAGAGGCATACTCATCTCGAATCCTGTCAAAGCCGATCACATAGGCACTCATAGTCTGTAAAACAACAACTACACGGCTAAGAGCATCTGCAGGCTTATTTTCAATGCCCGCTCAGTGGTGAAGAACAAAAGTATACTCCTGAAGGAACTCAGCCCACCTAACGTGCCTAACACCCAATTTTCTCTGGGAATGAAAGTATTTTAATGCCTGATGATCAGAATATAACACAAACTCAGATGGCAATAGATAATAACTCCAATGGCAAAGAGCTTGTACCACAGCGTAGAACTCTTTGTCATATTTAGAATATCGTTGTTTAGCTTTATTGAGTTTTTTGCTGAAGTAAGCAATAGGATGATCCTCTTGACTCAAAAACTCCACCTATCCCTACACCAGATGCATCACAGGCAACCTTAAACACTTTAGAAAAATCTTGGTGTCGAAGAACGGGTGCCTCTGTCATCCTGTGCTTAATTTCTTGAAAGGCTCTAGTTGCAACAAGTGTCCATTGAAACTCCCTATTTTTCATGCACTCTGTGATGAGAGCCATAAATGAACTAAACCCTTTAATAAATCGTTTATAAAAGGTGGTCAAACCATGAAAAATTTGAACCTCAGAAATTGTTCTTGGCACTGGCCAATCCCTAATAGCACGAATTTTCTCTGGGTCAACTGCAACATCATGCGCAGAAATAACAAACCCAAGGAAAAACACTTGAGTTTGCATAAAGGAGCACTTCTTAAGGTTTGCATAGAATTTTTTCACACGTAATGTCTGCAAAACCTGTCGAAGATGATCCAAATGCTCTTCTTTAGACTTATTATAGATCAAGATGTCATCAAAGTAAACTACCACAAATTTTCCTAGGAAAGGACGCAGTATCTGAGTCATAACCCTCATAAATGTGTTAGGTGTATTAGACAATCCAAAAGGCATGACCAACCACTCATAAAGTCCATCTTGGATTTTAAATGCGGTTTTCCATTCATCTCCTGGTCTAATTCAAATTTGATGATAATCACTGCGCAAATCAATTTTGGAGAACCAAAGTGCATCGGCTAAAAGGTTAAGCATATCTTCAAGTCTCGGTATAGGAAATCGATACTTGACTTTAATTTTGTTAATGACATGACTATCAACACACATTCTCTAAGAGCCATCTTTCTTAGGGGTCAACAAAGCAAGGATAGCACATGGTCTAAGACTATGACGAACAGACACTTTTTTGCAACAGTCCATCTACTTGCCTTTGAAGTTCAGCACGCTCAGTGGGATTCATATGATAATGGGGAAGATTAGGCAACTGAGATCCTAGAACTAAGTCAATAGCATGCTGAACATCTTTCATTGGTGGCAACTCATCGGGTAGTTCCTCAGGAATCACATCATGAAACTCTCTCAATAGACTATCAACCTCAGGCAAAAGATCGTCTTTAGATTCCAGAGGACTTTGGACAACTTCTTTGACAACTAGAGCTACTAGTATACCAGACACTTTTCTCTTTTTTCAAATTCTCTATGGGTCAAGATGTGAAGGTCTTTCTTTTGAATTACTGGGGAAGATGACCTATGCTTTGAAGTATTACTTTCTGAGGGTTTCACAGGTTTTAACTTAAATGGTTTTCCTCGTATGCTTAAAAACATAGGTATTTTTCCTCCCATAGTTTATCACATCTAGATCAAAAAGCCACGGGCGACCCAACAAGACATGAGTGACATCCATAGGTAAGACATCACACTATATATGATTTGAATAGTCACCCATCTGAATATGGACCAAACATCTATGTGAGACTGGTAAGGAGGTCTTGTCAACCTATGCAACTTTATATGGTTGTGGGTGTGTCTCTGACTTAAGCAGCAACTGAGCTACAACTGATTTAGAGATGACATTCAATGAACTTCCCCCATCAATGACGACCTTGCAAACTTGACCCCCACATTGGACTAGAGTATGAAAAATGCTGGTGCGTTTCCATGCTTCTGTGTCTGAAGGGGTGGATAAGATGCATCGTATCATACTGACACAGGTGTCATCGGTCTACCACTCTTCCTCACCCTCATCTAGTAACTCTAAGGGTTCTTCATCTAAAGGATCAACTTCTTGGTCAACATCCTCTTTGTCAAGTGAATTCCCTAATCCCTGGTCAATGGTCAAGGTACGTTGAGGGCACTGTGAAGTAATATGACCCTTGCCATGACAACGGTGACACTCTATGGAAGAATTGTCCTGACGAGAACCTATGAGTGTAGAATCTCGACCCCTAGTGGTATACCTCTCAAGTTGGGGATAATTGTTACCCCTGGATGTGACAGGGCCTGACTGGGTGACGCCTCGAGACCGATCAAATGAGACTGACCTTGATGGTTAAGATTTTTCGGTTTGAGAAGGTTTTTGATGCTGAAAGGGTGGCCTAAGGTATTATTCAATCTCTAAGGCTTTATAATATGCTTCCTCAACCGTTTTAGGAGAGTGTAAGTTAAGCTCTCTCCTAATCTCAGGTCGTAAGCCATTAATGAACTTTGTAGCTGTTATCCAAAGCTCTTCCTTTATGTCACATCTTAAAAAGAGCTCTTAAAATCGAGCTTGGTAATCAGTCACACTCGAGGTCAACTGACGCAAGTTCATCCACTTGTCCAAGAGTTGGCGCTTATAGTAACTAGGGACATATTTATCTCGCAATCTTTGTTTCATCTCAGCCCATAAAGTAATGGGTTGTCCCTTTAGGCGCTCTTGGTCTCGTTGGACTCCCTGCCAATATCTCTTAGCCGAGCCAACGAGTTTCATTTTTGCAAAACGAACCCGATGGTTGTCGGACATATCATACCAATCAAAATAGTCATCCATGTCATCCAACCAATCTAAGAAAGCAACAGGATCTAACCTACCATCAAAGCTAGGAGCGTCCACTTTGACTATTTGTGTGATATCCCTAGATTCTTCGTGGACATGCCTATGTCGAGGATTATGGTAATACAGAGGGGGATACCTATGGTATCTGGCACGTGGTTGAAAGGGCTCACGATAACCATCCATATCACCCTCTGCTGAATAGTCAGACATGACTACCTCAGCGGGATCTTCCTGAACATTCCTACGACCTACGTTTCATCCAAAAGCGGTATTAGGAGGTGTCTTTCTATCTGGACGCTGTACTCGGCTCCCTGAGCTACTTGCGGAGTGGGTAGGACACCTTGACATGAGTCAGTAGGATCTATCGGGAGAGACAAGTGCCTAACATTGTGTGCTTGTTTAGACTTAGGTGAAACTTGTGACTCACTCTGGTCATAGTCTATTGGTCGTTTTTTCATAAACTTAGTCAATTAGGCTAGTTGAGTAGTAATTTGAGAAAGTTGTTGCCCCTTTCCTTGAACTTCCTCACGTAACAAGTCAACTGATTGTTTAGTATCGGTCATATCAATAGTGAGGGTCTCAAATTTTTGTTCTAATGCAGTATGAGATTCTAAAAGCTCACGAAGGGTCATAGTAAATGTAATGTAAAATTTGGGCTAATGTAAATTGTCGACTAGACTAAAAATTAAACCAAGTAATAAAAATTATAAATCAATACAAATGATCACACATAAGAACAAACTTATTGTAAAGAGGCTCAAATAAACATGAGACAAGCAACAATGAATTTAAAAAGAAATTGGGCAAACTAAGTTATGAAGGTGGTGTGTGGGAACAACAAACAAATAAGGTTATGAAGGTGGTATGCGGGAACAACAAACAAAGAAAGTTTAGGTTTTTTTTTCTTTTGACTTACCAACAAATATAATACTAGTCACCAATTTTCAACGAAAAGAACTCGTATCTGGTGTTAGATGTAACTCCAAGAGGATATTTGACACTTTAGAGGATGATCCTATGAATTCTGGAACTTTCTGGAGTATTTTTGTAATTTTTGAAACTTTTGCGGTGATGTTTCCGTAATTTCCTGAATATGCTAGGAATGTTTCTATAATTCTAGATCTTTTAGATGGTATTTCTAAATTTTTTGAAACTTGTGGAGTGATTCTGCAATCTTTTGAAACCTTTAATGATGTTTCTGTAATATAACTTGCTCTCCTTCTTTAGCGTGCCTATAAGTGAAGCCGTAAGCACCATCCTAGTGACAGCACAAACGAATAAATAAAGATGAAGATGCAAACGATGAAATCAATCACCAAACGATGACGAAGAAGTAATTGGCAGCGATGAAGCAGCGGATCTGGATCAACAAACAACAATGAAGTCTGATTTTTTTTTAATTTACCTGGACAACCGATGAACAGTAATTGTAAACAGTGTGCGAGGAACAATTTTTTTTTATTCTTTATTTTTTGTGATTTGTACTAATCGAAGTTGGGTTCTGATCATAAATTGATGTAGATCATATTAAAGAAAAATTAGGGAGGAGAAAGGAAAAAAAAAAAGGATGAGAATAGAGAGAGAATTTTAGGAAAAGATTCAATATCAATAGTCAATAATCAAAGTCTATCAAAACAAATAACATATCTCTTTTATATATATAGGGAGACCACGAATCCTAAAAGAACTCTAAAAAAAATAAATAGTTATAATGACAACTAAACCACCGAAAAGTAAAATGACAATTAACTTCTAATCTGTACGCCCTATGGGTACTATAACGAAATATAATGCGATTCCTATGAAGGGGATTCTAAGGCTCTGTAATTTCTAAAGCATTCCCCAATGGAGTCGAAAGATATATCTGTCTATATTTTTACTGTACTTCGCTTTGATATGCATTGACCTTAGAATTGTTGCTTGACATTCTGATTTCATGCTCAACCACCATCATCTAATATTCTTTACGCGAGGCTCTAACAGGAAGCTTTAAAACTAAAATGGTATTTGCAAGATTAATTGGGAAATTCAGGTGGCTCAAATTTTGATTTCAAAGGGAGTTTGGGACTCTGCACTTCCTACTTATAGATTACAATGTACTCATCAAGTACAACCTTTCCATTAGCTCTGTCTGGCTGCCAAAATATAAAAGGGAATAGCAGGGGAGAACTGGTATTACATGGATATCTGGAACAATGCATAGGCTAAATAACTGAACAAGTCATCAGTCATTGACTCATTGTACACGAATACGACGTGCAACATCACTAATCACTCCTATTTTGATCCCTTACAACTGATATTCATATTACTTTTAATTTTGTAGTATAGTAAAATTTGACAAAATCCAGACAGGGGCACATCTGGGGTAATTCACCCTTCTCTGGTCATGCCAGAACAGAAGGCTTACAGGCATTGATCTCGCCTGTTGGTTTACCACATTCCCCTTTCTTTTGACCATGTTTTGATACCTTCACTTCAAAGCACTCAAACATATTCTCCAACTCAGAAATCTCCTCTTGCATGTTAACTACTGGTTCGCTTCCTGTGGCTATCCGTTGCTTGAAGCCACGGATATGGTCAAGGCTCAATCCAGCTTCTGTTACTATTTCCTCCATTGTTGCACACATTACTGCATTTTCCTCTTGTGCTTGTTTAAATTTCCTTTTCATGGACCGGTAACCATCAAGGGACCTGAGGAGTTGCTCGGACAGTGCCTTGTTCCGCTCTTGGAGTACAGCGTTTCTTTGTGTCTCTGCTCTATCAGATGATCTCTCTTTGTTCTCAGCAGAAAATTCTTTTACTTTCTCCAATAATGTCTCATTCTGTGCTTTCAGATCATTGATAAGTTCCTCCATTTCATTCTCTTCATGAACCTTTCTTGCTAATTCTGAAGCCATAATTTCTTTCTCTTTTCCCAAGCTAGAGCACATTATTTCTAGGCTCTTCCTTGCTGCCAAGCTTGCATTGAGCTCCTTTCTTAGCCTCTCTTTCTCATCGGCTATTGGTTCGCCTTGCCTTTTGTCCCTTGGGACATTGGCAGGCCTAAGCTCCGTGTTGCATCGCCTCAGCTCAGCTGCTGATGTTTTGCTGCCAAAAGATTGACATTTCTGAATCCGAGTTCTAATGTTGTCCAGAATGGTCATCATTGTAGCCACCCTTAACATTCTCCTGCCATCGTTTTTCTCTTTCTTGCATGCATCTTTATGATCTTGGATTAGCTTTAATAACAACTTAATATGTGCTGCAACGCCTAATGAAACCGAAAAAAGTTAAGAGTCAAATGCCACGTCGAATACCAGGCAAAGGGTGTAATCTAATTCAAGGCTGCAATTGATCGATGAAAAAAAAAAGACCGATTGAACAACTATAGTTTCATGCTATGAGCATCATATCTGAGCTTCACAGATTTTCAAGAAAAATAAATCTTCAAGTGGCTAGAATGAAGTAATTACATTCTTTCTAGGAATTAATGCAATAAAACAGTTTAATTTGGTGTAATAACAACACAAATTTACAAGAAACATCCTTCATCTATTTTTCTGAAGAAACATAGTTTATAACAATATGTTCTAAGAAAAAAAATTATTATTACTCTTTTGATTAGTATTGTAATGAAAGTAGATGTGCAAGATCTGTTCACCTTCTAAAGCTGAATCATCGTACTGTTCGCTTGATGGCGAAGAATGAACTAATTCAGGAGATGAATGTGCTCGAATTCGATTCATTTTATCCTTCAGCAGTCAAAGATCAATGAGAAAACTTTGAAGATACAAAGCTTTTCATGAAATGGAGGAAAATGGATGAAGAGGATACAGCAGGAAGAAGCTGAAAAGGAGAAGAAAAGGGGTAATTTTGTGGTGAAAAAAAAATCTAGAAATCTATAATGTTTGAGAGGTACAAAGAAGAGAGCTGGTTTGCCTTTGCAGTCCCTCTCTCTCTGTCTCTCTCTCTATCTGGGGCTTTCTTCAAACTTTCTTCTGTGTAATATTGTAAGTTAAAATTTGTTTGGTGCTAGCTCATTACAGAATGGTTGGTTGAAGATAGTTATTTTGGCGCAATTATTGGGGGATGGTTTGACTTTTTCATTGGCTTAAATGGTTGCTTTGACTATCTTGGACAATAGCTGTGGCTTCATGTGGCTGTCCATACCCTATTCACTATGAATATTCTCATGTGCCCAAAAATTTGTATAGAATCTCATCCCATCTCCACACATCCCCATGCAATTGAGCAATCAATCACATTTAACATGTATGTTGCCTGTGCACTACAGGTAACCCACCCCCTAGGAGCAAAAAGAAATCAGCATTTCCAGATTTGGAATTTTAGGCGTAATTAGGGGGTGTCAATCTGAAACTAGTCTCAGTAATTTACAGTTCTTCAGTGAGTTTGGATACACAAAAAAAAAAAAAAAAATCCCACTTTGATTAGATTTTAATAATATTCGGGTTCTCGGTCTTTGATGATTTTTGAGAACCAACATGAGCTTAAAAATTATGATTTAATATGAAACTGAATTCAAAATTTAGTCTAAGGTGTGTAACTCTAGGATCAAATTGAAATTTTATCTAGAATTTCAATCTATAAAGATTTGAATTTACTCTAATACAATTTTTTTTAATTCTCTTAATTCTAAATTACACATCGTGTACTGATGGAGATCCCCCATTTAAATTCATCATCGTTGATATACTATCAAAAAACAATGAAAGAAAAATGTATTAAAAGCGATCTCACCGAGCTTGTATCTCAATTTCCGTGCTCACAGTTTTTTTTTTATCATGGACAAAAAAAGAGAATATCACAAATGGACCTTCCTTAGATCTTCTGGCCTAATATGGTTCTCCACCCATGTAATAAAATTATATTTGTCGTAATAATTACGCCACATCAATATTATTAAGTATAATCATCTAATAATAACTTAATAAGTGGGACAAAGTGAACCATACTTCTACAAATAATTATCTTTCATGTGAGTTATTAACCACTCCATGTAAAAAAATGAGGTTCAAATTATCTATTTATTAGCTTATCATTCAGAAGTTATACTATGTGACAATGTTGATTTATGTAATTATTACACCAAGAGAAAATGTTATCAATACCCTCCTCGAGTTTATTATATCTTCAAAGACACTTCTCTATTTATTAAATCTACATCATTGACACCAGTGTTAGAATAAAGACCTTAACTAGAATACAATTTTATTAAATTGTTAATGATAAAAAAAACTTCATCCACATCCCTTTTAGATAAACATATTTTCAATAAGACCCCCTCTATTTTATGATTTTTTTTATGTATTAAAATTTAAGTCGATTAAAATTCAATTTGAGTCAATTAAAATTCATTTTTAATTGGTTTGAATCAAATTTTAATCAACTCGTATTAAATTTTAATCAACCCGAATTTTAATTAGTAAAAAAATATAGACTTTAATCGATTTAAATCGAATTTTAATATATATAAAAAATTTAATCAACTCGAATCAAATTTTAGTCGACTCAAATTTTAATATGTAGAAAAATAAATTTTAATTTGCTCAAATTTTAATATGTAAAAAAAATAAATTATAACGACTCGAATTTTAATCATATTTTATGTAGAAAGATTTTTTGTGGTCTATGTTGAAGTAATTTTAGTATTTTAGTTGAACCTTTTTTTTTTGTTGGAAATGGTGGTCTAATGACAAGGGGTGTTAGTAATGTTTAAATACAAATTAGAGGGGGTGTAGTGATATTTTAAATAATAGAGGAGGTGTCCTTAAAAATATGATAAACTAGAAAGTACGTAATTGAATTTTTTTCCTTGCACTAAATGTTTAATCTAGCCGAAACACCACCAAATAAAACAAAAAGGAGAATTACACTCAGACCCTCTAAAATTTGTCATTTAATCATTTAGATCCCTTGATATTTAAAATATTACACACAGACCTCTTGAAGTTTGTACGTGAACAACATTTAGACCCCAACAGTCAATGTCCGTTAGTAAATTACATACAGACCCGTTGAAGTTAGTAGATTGTAATTCTTAGATCCTTCAAATTAAAATGTTATATTTAGATAAAAAATATACCAAGTAAAGATAGAATATCAAATATTTTAAATTTTACAACTAAAATTTATATTATATTATGATATTTATTGAAATAAAATTAAAAATTAAATTAAATTTTTTCTTAAATAGTGTATAATTATACTATCTATTGGAATTTAATTTGATCGTTTAAACGACCAAATTACCCCAATTAAATCTAGAATATATTGTATCCACTACAGTCTAACTATTTATTTATTTTTTTAATTTTATTCTAATAAATAATATAATTATATACTAATTATGATTTTTTTTAAAAATAAAATTTTTATTGAAACAATCCACATTGCTACCTTTTTATGTAGTTGAGGGTACAATTTAAGAACTTTAATTTTTTAGGTTATAAATTAAAATTTTAATTAATAACACTTTTAGTTTCTAAAGTATACATTTTTTGTCAATTTAATTCTTAATGTATCAATTTTGTCTCTAAAATATTCAATTCGAATCATTTTAACCCTCATATAGACTAAATGTTAAATTTTTAACAAAATAAACACATGTTAGATACGTGGTGATACCTTTTAAAAAAATAACACGTGATCATTTTCGTCAAAAAACTTAACAATCCATGTATGTGGGACCAAAATGACACAAATTGAATAGTTTAAGGAACAATTGACAAAATTGATACATTGAGGACTAAACTGACAAAAAATACATACTTTAAGGATAAGAAATACTATTAACCCTTAAAAATTTACAAATTGTTTATAATGCAAAATGTCATTCACCCTACCATTTAACAAAAAAAAAAACAGTTGACAGAATACAATCACAGCATATAATTGCTTAAGCATACCTTAAATAATTAAAACAAGAATTTATCGAGTAGAATTGAATTCCTATAGTTTTGTTCATTATAAAGCACAGTAGAAACATTGTACAAGATTTTCCACCATTACTTTCTTTAGCATGTACAAATCATTTTCCACACTACGTTCAAGAAACTTAAAACATTCAACAATCTGTCACAGTTCAAAGAAGTACAAACAAGGGACTACTGTGTGATGAGAGGCCTTGTGTTGTTCCAAAGCCACTGACGTGCAGAACCGTCCACCAATGGTGAAACCTACGAGAGATACTGAGTTAGTAATTGTAATAAACCAGACTATGTTCCAAATCTACGACGTAGTATTTAGTAAAAATCTAATGTGGTACTTCACGAAAACATAAATATACTGTGGCTTCAAAGATAAGCAGAATATCATATGGTTAAAACTCTAAATACTCAAGCTATAGGAATGTAGAAAAGAGACAGAAAGGAGTGGAACATGCTCAAACCTGCATTTCATGTGTTCTCTTTGTCAGTAATTATGCAATTACACGTTAAATAATTTAGGAGATGTTATGAATCAAACATCAGCTATTGTAAAGGAATGTAGACGGTAACATGATGGTATGTGCCATGTTGAATGCAATTTTATGGTAAGTTCCATGCTACCAGACTATACGAGCAGTTTAGTCTTGCATTCGGAGTAAAGATTCCCAACCCTGACACATACCAAATTTTCACTAGACAATGACAGCCATTTTTAAATTTGAAAGAGCTATTCGGAACGTAAGACATTTCCACAGATTCCACAGTTTTTTTATTTGTAAGTTACCTTTTCCCAAACTTCTGAATGGTAATCATTGAGCCAATCAATCTCAGCAATGGATAGCACAGGTAAGTCAATCAATTTAATCTGTATCATGAAATAGGCAGAAATTATTAAAACTTTAGGAAACCGCTACGATGAGGTGACAAGGCAAAGAAGAAAATAAATGTTTCAGATAAACTATATCATTAAATAAGGTATTAACACCCAAGACTTCACAGCAAACGGGCAGCCACCAACAACCCACAATGCATAGGTTCAATTGGTGACTCCTACAAAAACCTTCGGCCCTAAACCATGAAAAATAGGCAGCAAGAATTGGATTCTTCAACACGAAATCTATTCAGCATCTTCAATTAAAAATGCAAGATTCATGCTGCTAGACGGGCTTTCTATAAATATAGTGAAGAATTTTTTTTCCTTTTTATAGATCAATATCTTTTGTTCGACACCACAGAACCTTCTATTCATTTTGCAAGTGTATCATAATCATGGAAGCCTCTCCATCCCTCACAATAACCTATTCACAATTCTCAAGGTTATTATGCTTCAGTTGGAGGGGGCAGAAAAGATGAGCTACAAGAAACAAAAGGCTATCAAAACGAGGAAACTAAAAGAATGTATGTATTAGACAACCACATGATATTCTTATAATAAATAATAGCCAAAATAAAGGGCAGCTACAATTGCAATTTATCTACATTCATGTGCTTAGACCTAAAACAAATTTGTCATATGAGCACCATAGCATGGTTCTCTGGAGCTCATTTTACACCCAATTTATTGACATGGCAAGTATCACAGTCCTCCATTTTAGTATAGAAGCTGTATATCAAATACATCAGGCATTATGACCATAACTTCTGTCTAAATCTCCAATTCCCTGTACAGTAGGACTAAAGGCACAACGGTAACCAGCACAAGCTAATATACCTGTATGGGAACAAATGTGAGCTTTTCAAATCCCAAATATCCGATGCCTCCAAAACGATTTGGCGTGTTAACCTCTTTCACATAGAGGAGATTCTGCATGACAAAACCCACTTAAATTACAAAAGATTTGCAAGCATGCGAGAACAAGAAAACAAGTAATAATTTAAACAAACATAAGTAAAAAGTAAGAACTAAGATCAACAAAATCAACTTAAATGCACCAAAATAACATGAACATCCTAAACACATGCAAATGAGGGTATAACTAGAATATTATTTGACCAGCCCAATGGATGAATTGCGGCAATAAGTTGGAGATCTTGTATATTGAACCATTCTTGTAATCATTCGACAAAAAAAGGAGAGGCATTCTATTATTAAGTTGTTCAGAAAGCTCTGGAAGGTTTAAAGAGGCCGCAGATGAGCGCTTAGAATCCTAGTAACAATGAAAACAAATATGCTTCCTCAACTGTAACTGCAGTTTTAATTCTACCCCAAATCTCCACAAATATATGAGCAGAAGCTCTGTTAGAAAGTTCTCCAAATTAACCGTTGAGGTTTTAATAGGTAATAAAGACCCTTCATCACAATCTAAGGAGAAAACGAGTAAAGACTTCATGGCCACACAGATGTATATTTGAGCTGTAAATTGTCCCTGAAAAGAAAGAGCACTCAATTTCAAACCAACAAAGCCCATGCTCAGTACGTCATACTAGAAAAACTATAAATATTGGAAGTCCTGCAAAATGGAAACTAAATGCATTTTTGAGTAGATACAAACATTGCTGCATGTGCATGGTACCTCAATTCGAATGCCAAAGGCATGATCTTCATAATAGCCAGGTTCATTGCTAACAACCATGCCTTTCAGCAAGGGAGTCATGTTACCAAATCGAAAGGTAATACTTTGAGGGCCTTCATGCACATTGAGGGCAGCTCCTACACCATGTCCAGTTCCTAATCCAAGGACAAAAAAGCCAACAAGGGAACACATTTTTCAGGTTAAAACATATATTCCTTCATGTGGGGAATAATTCTCACCACTAAATAAGTAGGAAATGTTAGGTACCATGGCGGTAATCAAGTCCAATCTTCCACAAAGAAGAACGAGCAAAAGCATCCAATAAAAATCCAGGGGTATTTTCAGGAAATACTGCTTGATCAAGAGCTATATGACCCTGCCATTGAACACTATTATTTATTTTGTCTAAGCCAGCATAGTCATGTCTCATGTATAAAGATAGAATGTGCGGCAAGTTAGTCTGTCGATGGAGCAAATGCATACCATAGCACACAAGCAACATATGGCGCTATAGTGTAAATAAGCAAATTGCATAAAGGGGGGCTGGCCGTTATATGATACCACCAATTGCTGCCCAGCAGGGGCTACATCCAATCTAAGAACTGACAGTACAGTGTTATATTTTGAAATTCACAAACTGATAGGATAATCGAATAATAAAATGAACCTAAAATATAGCAAATACAAAAAATACCTTTACTGTAAGTTTCCAAGTTGCATGTTGAATGGTTTTAATTCTTTTCTTCAGCCAAAAATTGCGGTAAAATATATTCACTCTGCAATGCCAGAGTCTCCTGGACTGAAGACACTACCATAATTTTGTGCATAGGAACTCAGCAGTCCTTTTTTTCCTTGGATAACAAGGAATTGTTCCAACCACGCGTATTTTGGTATCATGTCTACAATGCAAACCATACATTATGCTACTCAATATTTCGATACACATCAATGCATACATGAACATGCACATTTCCATATTCCCAATCACACAGGTAGTATGGGGCTCCATTCATCTAAGAGAAAGGGATTAATCATTCTCAAATGGATTTGAAAAACAATTCTGTGAAGAGTTAGAAGTGCTTGGCAGCTCCCGAGTGCAGGGAGTATAAAGTGTGAACAGCGGTGTCACAACTTACAACATTTTTGCATTGAGTGTATAAGAGTGGTGATTATTAGTCATTTGTCTGGAACCATAGATGGATGACTAGTATCCAGTGAATGGTGAGGGTGAAGTTTTTCTTACTTGTAGATTTCTTTCATATTATATTAGTTATAATGATTCAGTATAAGGGTAATATTTTAAATTGTAATTATCTTCAATCATTGTCTAAAATAAATAAGAGAGTGTAGGGCACATTGCCAACACTCCAAGTTTATTATTCCTCAGCTGCTTTCTCTCTTTCTCTTCCCTCTTATTCTTTTCTCTCCTTATTTCTCAAACCCTAATACATGTTTTATAACTTAGTATAAAAGCACATCATCTTGCCAAAAAAAGAAACAAAAAACAAAAACCTCGTAATCAGAAGCTCCCCAAAAAAAAAAAAAAACTGCTGTCCATTTGCTGACATCATCATTGGCGACAATGAAGTCATCACGACATCAGCCGTTTCCGACAATTGAACCTACCAGTAGGATCGACTACTCCTGCCAGTTCTTATTGTGATTTTTGCCAAATTTTTTGAGGTAGTTTAGATTGTGTTTTCTATTTTCGAAAATAAAGACTTCGATTTCGCAATCTGCTCTTCTGGACCAATTGGAGCTATTTCGACACCTCGTTCCACAGAGAGGTGAGACTAGGGCATAAGGGGTTAGCTATGGTCGACCCATGCCTTCTTGAATTGTTTTTTGTGGAGTGAAGCTGTCGGCGGTGACGTTCTATGCTCTGTGTACTGTTTGGCTAGGCTCTTTGGTTCCAGACGTGATGAGGGGCAGCTGTGAGGCTTGATTTCCATTTTTTGGGATGTGAATTGAGGTTCCTTGGCTGCTGTGGCTTACTGGTTGATATTCTTGTGTGGTTTGCAGGGAATTTGTTTCTCTTTATTTGTGGTTGTCTTTTTGTTGGGTTTGGACAGTTGCTTCTTGCTGCTGCTTGATATTTGCGGGTTGGGACTTATTTTTTCTATGGCTGCTCCTGCTCCTGAAGATAACAAAAGTCCCATCCAAGAAATCAGAAGTCATATTCTGTTGACGATCTGGTTAGATAGATTACTTCTGTGAGGTTGAATGACAATAATGACATTCCTAGTCACATGCTATTAAGGTTTGTTTGCGTGCAAAGAAAAATGTTAAGTATTTAACCGACAGTCCTCCTCCTTCGACCTCAAACGATTCAAAAGATTGGTGAAGTGAGAGTTCTTTGTTAATGACTTGGTTGTGGCTTACTATGAAATCTTATGTAGCTTCTAATGTTCAACTTTTTCACACTGCCAAGAAGATATGGGTTTCTCTAGAGATGTATTCCCAATAGCATAATGTGTCCCAGATTTATGAGTTGTTTGAGTGTATGTTTAACACCAAACAAGGTGACAAGCCTCTTGCTGAACATTATGGTGTTTTGAAAAGGTTATGGAAAGAACTTCTGTTTTATCAGCCATTAAGTGAAGACTAGGAGATCCGGTGCCGTCAGCATGAAGCGTTCCAACTTGCCTTATTATTATCTAGTGTTAATTATGAGTATAGTGTGTTTAAAGACCAGATTTTGGCTAGTGAGAAACTTTCGACCGTTGTCAATGCTTATACTCATCTTCAACGTGCTTTGCTGACTTGGAGAGATCTTGGTCATGGAGGCCATATTGATCGTGATAATCAATTAGTACAAACTCTGATGATTCTGTTCCACCTATGCCTCAGCCCCCTACTGATGGTCCTTCTACATCTACGTCCAGTTCTTATGATGGTCTTTCCTCACAGCACTCTCAGCTTATACTGCAGTTATCTTTTCTCTCTTCACAGTTGTTGACTTCTGCTGCGGGTTTGGCTAATGAAGGTAATTCGGTGAATGTGGCCTCCCAATCAACTTTATCTTCTTTATTATTGATTCAGTGGCTAGTGCACACATGTATAGTATTTCTTCCTTGTTTTCTAATCTTCGTACTTCTAGCTCATGTTTTGTAGTAGCTGATGGTTCTTTTCGACCGGTGTGTGGGACTAATGATCTCCATCCTAACCCATCCATGCCTTTTACATCAATTTCTCCACACTTTCTTTTTAGTTTGTTATATGTGAGTTAGTTAACCAAGTCTTTCCAGTATTCCATGACATTATCTTCATCTTATTATATTTTCAGGACCTCTGTACGAAGAAAGTGCTTGGTTTGGGGCAAGAGCAAAAATGTATTTATTACTTGGATTCTCTAGATTCAGTAACTCCCTTGAGTGCTACCGTGTCTCTTCTCCTAGATTCAATAACTCCCCTGAGTGCTACTGTCTATTCTTCAGTGCATTTTCAATTAAGTCATCCTTCCCCGCTGAAGCTCTGTCAATTTATTAATATATTGAGTCTTTTTTTGTTAGAATGTGAGGGTTATTAATTAGGCCAGTAACACCGTAGTTTGTTTCCCAGTAGTTTTCACATCAATCGCGTCCTTTTGATATTGTCCACTTAGACATTTGGGGTCCTACAAAAATAAAAAATGTTTCTACCTTTTAGTACTTTGTAATCTTTGTTGATAATTTCTATCGTATGATTTGATTGTTTCTTATAAAAGATCGTTTTGAATTGCCTAAGGTTTTTGTCAATTTTAATAATGAAATTTTGGCTCAACATGATAATCATATAAATACATATTAAAGTGATAATGAAATTTTGGTTCAACATGATAAACATATAAATACATATTAAAGTGTTTCTTTCTAATAATGCTATGGAGTATGTTCAATCATTTATGCATACTTTTTGTGTTGACCATGGTATATTATCCATCAGACTACTTGTCCGCACACATCCCAACAAAATAGTGTTGTAGAATAAAACATCATCATTTTTTAGATGTTTTCCGTACTTTAATGTTTAATATGCATGTACCAAAACATTATTGGGCCAATACTATTCTTACATTTGTTTACCTTATTAATCGATGTCATCTTCCATCTTAGAAAACAAATCTCTATTTTTGTTGTTTTATCCCAATAAACCACAATTTGGTTTAACTCGTGTTTTTGGTTGTGTTGCATTTGTTCATCTTCTTGGTCCATGTCATAATAAACTCTCACCTCACTCAGTCAAGTGTGTCTTTTTGAGATATTCTTGTACTCAAAAAATTTACCTGCTTCTATGACCCTATTGCTTGACGATACTATATCACTGATGTTACCTTCTTCGAGTCTTCTTCCTTCTTTTTCAGATTCAGGAAAGGTGCCTACTACTTCTTCCCAGTGTTATTTAAGGCGTAAAGCGAACTGAAGCGACCAAGTCTCCTAAAGCCTAGGCAAGAAGCGAGAAGCGAAACGACACGCTTTATCGAAGCAAAGCGAACAGTTAAAAAAAAAATATATTTTAGTTTATTTACTTCTAAACAATCTAAGTTCTAATTTTATATATACTAAATATTTAAATGCAAGTAAAACCATAAACATTTAAATTAAAACAAACACTAATAATATCTCAAATTTTAATAACAGTCATAACTAAAACATTTAAATTCAAACAAATACTAACAATTGTATACATTTTCATATTGACAGGGTAGGACAACAAAAGAAGCAGAATCAGGACAGCAGCAGAATCAGCAACAAAAAAAATAGAAGTAGCACTGGACAGCAAAACCGAAGCAGCAACAGAATTAACAAAAAATAATAGAAGCAGAATGAGCTAAAAAAAAACAGAAGCACAATGATCATGACAGGAGCAGAATCAATTGTAAACAATTTCATATATAATTATGTACTGAATAAAAAAAGCAGAACAGAGGCACATTTCCCATGTACTAAAATAATTAAACATGGTATAAGCATAGACCACTTTTTGGTACCATTTGTATATATATAAGAAAAAGAAAAAGTATAACCAAGACATATCAAAGACACTTTTTTATAGAAGACTCTATTATTTACCCCCATTCCTGATACTCCTGCTTCTTTTCTTTATCATAATTTTGTCATGCAGTCGCCTGACTCCCACATCCCACAAATATTCTAAATGAATTCAGCAACATAAGGAAAAAAAAGAATGTGTTTTGTTCGAAATATTGTTTATTAGAAAAAAAAAAATAGACCAGCGATAGTCTAAAAAAAAAATCATTAGTGATTAAAAAATAAAAGAAACTACTAACCTGTAATCAGGAACAAAAAAAAAAAAAGGGAAGCAGAATCGCCTCTTATAATAAAGCGTTCGCTTTTTCGTGCTTTTTTCTCGTTTCGTTCACGTTCGCTTCGCCTGGGGTCCTCCAGGCTAGATAAGTTCGCCTCGCCTCGTTTCTTGCCTAGGCGAGCTTTTCAAAACACTGCTTCTTCCTTTACTATTTCTGCTCCAATAAGTGTAGGTTTACCATCATACCAAAGACAAATAGATTGTTCCCAATGCTCCAGCTCAAATGTCACCACCTGATTCTCCTAAGGTTCCACTTCGTGAGTCACCATCTAATTCTTCTAATTTACCTATTGGATTGAGGAAATGTACTGGTACTTATACTTAGCATCATATTTCTAATTTTGTTTCTTTTCATCGACTTTCCTCATTTTTTGTTGTTGTTTTGTATCATTTTTGTCGTCTATATTTATTTATGGCTCTTTGACACAGGCACAGGTGAGAATTTGACATTGCTTCAAAAGAACGAATCATTAGTTTATTCAATAAGAAATTCCTTTCATTTTTTGCTAAAAAAAAAGGGGTGGCTGACAATCTTTAAAAAAGGGCCTCAATCAAATAGTTAAAGGAAAGCTCGGGTATGCAAGTAATGAATTTACGATCTAAGACTCGATACGAAAGTACTTTGATAGAAGTTTATGGAAGGTGAAATCCAAATGTTAAAGCACAAACCCTCATTACTAATGGACAAATCTGTTCGAAAACAGAGCACTTTTAAGTGAGTTTTCTCTTGACTTTATTAACACAGCATGATGAGAAAATGAAGGCCTTTCATGAGAATCAATTTATCACTTCTCTTCCTCCTGATAAAGTCAACTATCACTAGGTGTACACTGTAAAATATGAATTAATGTGAAACCTTCTCCCCGGTTACTTGTCTTAACTCTGATTAGAGTTCTTCTTTTTGTTGCAATCAGTGGCCTTTGTATCAACTAGACAAAAAATGTTTTTTTTTATACAGAGATCTACAAGAAGTATACATGGTTCAGCCTTCGGGATATGTTGTTTCTAGGAAGGAACAGTTTGTTTGTCGTTTGAAGAAAGTATTGTATGGATTAAACAATTACCACAAACTTGGTTTGATCATGGATTCTACAGTCAAACTAGATGGTGAAATTGGAGAAGTGTTTAGTGATATAGGGTGTTAACGGCAATTGGTCGATAAGTTGATTTATCTTATAGTTACGCGTCCTGAAATCACATATTTTGGTGTGGTTAGTCAGTTCATACATATTCCTTGAAAGCCCCATTAGGAGGTTGTCTGTCATATTCTTCGGTATTTAAAAAATGCACCAAGAAAAGAATTATTATTTCGTCCATCCCCATCAATTACAGTTAACTAGATTTTCTAATGTTGATTGGGTAAGTAGCTATATTGATAGACGATCCATTTCTGGTTACTGTACATTTGCTGGTAATAATCTTGTTACTTGACGTAGTAAGAAACAGAACGTAATTGCATGATCTATCGTGCTATGACTCATACGGCATGTGAGATGTTGTGGGTTTGCTCCTTATTTCATGAGATGGGTATTAATGTGTCTTCTCCTATGATGAAGACGAACTTTGACAATTATGCTGCTATTTTCATTGCCAATAATCTAGTATTTCATGAGCATACTACTCACACTGAAGTCGATTGATACTTTATTCAAGATGTTTTGATGCGAAAGGAGATTATCACTCCATATATCAAATTTAGTGATTAATTGTGCCACATCCTTACCAAACCATTGGCTCAGATTGCCTTCAATGACCTTTGTTCCAAACTAGACATTTTTTATTTTTATACTCCAGCTTAAGGGGGAGTATTAAGAGTTTTTTTATATGATAGTTATAATGGTTCAGTATAAGGATAATATTGTAATTATCTTCAATCACTGTCTAATATAAATAAGAGTGTAGGCCACATTGCTAACACTCTTTAAGATTTTTATTCGTCAGCCGCTTACTCTCTCTCTTCCCTCTTCTTTTCTCTCCTTATTTCTCAAAGCCTAATACTTGTTTTATAGATTCAACTCTTACCTAGTAGTTGACAAGTGCGTGAACTCTTGGATCCTACAGTTGATCGTGCAAAACCAAAACATCATTGTGTTCCACCATAAGATAACTACTCGATACAACTCTAACCTTTTGAGTTCGAGTTCCTTTCTTAATAGACAGCCGATATGGACCTTATCAGGGACAACTTGCCCCCATCTTGCCATAATACATTGAAATGGATAAGGGTGAGTCGTCCCTGATAAGGGGCTTCTGTCATCCCTTGCTCCCTTGGAAAATCTGACCTAGGCTCATGGAATCGGTTATTAGCTCTCACTGTGATTATTTCTTTTTAGGGTATAAGATTCATGAAAGAGGAAATGGACAAACCTTTCAGGTTATCTCCATTTGTCGGCACCAAAGGACTTTGCCTAGTAGCCTATGGATGGTAATGGTCATTGATGTTGTGGAACAAAGGGACATGAGTAGCACAACAAGACTAGCTGTGGCTTGATTCACGTGAATTTGAGGGTCTTGATTGGGCAGTATGCGTGTGATTTTGGAAGTTCGAGTTGGCCCTGTTTGAAAATCTAAGCTTTTTTACTCCAGTCAGACAGTTGCCTGAATGGTGGTGCTTTCTACTGCTGAAACAAGTACCTTATGTTTTGGAGTTTCACCATTTTCAACTTCCTTTCATTGAGTTGTTAGCTTTATTTTGCTCTTTGAGCTTTTAGTAAGGGTTTTTTTTTTCTCATTTTTCCCCTTCTGTTTGTACTTTGTAGGGCATATCTTCCTATTCAATAAAATTCAGATTTGTTTACTAAAACAAAAATAATGTCCTGTGAACAATCCTATTTCTAACCTGATTTGTGGAAGCAATTTGATAGTCCACTAGAATTGTGTAATATATACAGACAAAATCAACTTGACAAAAGGAAAACAGCACCTGTAGAACTCGGGTGAAACATTCTTTCTGTCGTGCAGAAGGTTCACCAAAGTGTACTGTCCTCGTCACGTCCGTTGTTCCATCAATATACTGAGCCCCGCTATCCAATAGGAAGAGTTTCTCGGAGTCCACAATGCTACAACAATCCGGCTCTGGTTTGTAATGGATTATAGCACCATTTGCACCAGAACCTGAAAAAACATACTAATAGCAATCAGTGAAGTTGAAGATACAGAAATACAAGTGCGACATCTATATAATTGTAGGAAGAATATATGCTCATCAAATTTTGATAATTTGATTATACTGAAACTAGAATCTGGATTATAAAATTCAGTATCAAAAATTTAAAAATTCAGCATGAAGCTAAGTTCTAAAAAGTGAATGAAAAATCCAGATTGTTAATATACCACATATAGTGTCAAAGCTTGTATCAAGAAAGCCGGCTTGCTTTGAACGGAAATCAAGAAGTTTGTCTGCAACTTCCACCTCTGTCAAAACCACATCCTTCTGGATTTCCTCTTCCAGCCAGGCCCAAAATTGTGCAAGAGCAGCTGCATCCCTGCACAGAAAGCATCACGGACTACATATGTTGCCAAGGTCTTTATCTGAGAAATATATTTATAAAGAGACATTTAATAATTAGCATCCTGTCACTAAGAAGAGCAATAAAATATGAATGCCCATAGGAACTACTGTCATCCTGCCCTTTCTTTCCAAACAGGGGATCAGAGTGGTAATGTTTTAACTCAAATAATCCACATACCGTTCATTAAGTAATTGTCACAGACTGGATTGTTGGTATTCACAAGCTAGTCGAGGCAGGTAAATCTTATGAAGCAGTACAGACACAAGTAGACAGTAATGCTACATTAGGGGAAAAAAATAGATAGTAATGCCTTCACACAGGAATGTCACAATCGAGAAAATTATACCTCCCAAGTTAGTATATTATCCTTGTAATCTTGCCACTCAAACCACTTGGATTTGAGTTGAATGCTTTAACATGGTATTTACAAGAAGCTTTATAGATTCCCCCTTTGCTTGTGCCATAAGTGCACCTTGCTATATTCTGATCCTATTTTTTAGATTTTCCACCTACCTCTCCACAAGCAAGTTAGGGGTCACACATGTGGAAAGTATGAGATTACCAGAGCTTGCCCCACTTCGACAAGTAACACCTCCCAAATGATAATATGACAATCATGAGCCTCTCTATTCATTGCCACTTGATTTTGAATAGGATGCTTTAACCACGCTCACCAGAAGATTCATTGGGCCAATTCAATTTTGTATGATGGTGTATACGGATATAATTTTTGGGATGTATAAACTTAAATCTTTTGAGGGGCCAAAAGCAGAAGTGGGTCATGATGATACAGATATATATTCACAATAATATCCATATAGAACCCCATAAGACATGAGGATAATTCTGGATGAGGCAGTAACCAACATTTAAAACTTCAATTTCAATGCATGCTGCAAATTTGATATGCAATATGGTAAGAAAACTATAAGATGAAACCATCAGATAAGTACTAAAATGGAAAAAGCTTGTCACCATGAAAAATCAAGTCCCAAGAAAGTTCCCACTACCTTAGATGTGAATTACGCATCCCTTCATATTCAGCATGATTTTTCACCGCCTTAGCCATAGAAATAGGAGAAGTCCGGTAAACTGCAGTGGTTCCCCCAGATCGACTACCAGAGTCATGATTCGTCAGGTCCATTTTTTTGTGTTTATTCCCAAGGCTCTGGAAATACTTATCACAGGTAGATCTATAGGTGTGTACAATAGCAGCATTAACAGATGCGGTATCCAGCCAAAGTTGTGCCCCTTGTGCTGCCAGTCTGAAAAGGAAAAATACTGTCAAGTACCAATTATGAAGCTACTCCACATTAATGTCAAAGAAAGCCTATGAAACAAGGATACTCTGATTTTAGAAGACTGTTGTTTTAGGCAAATACACTTATTTTTCTATGCCATAGTGCATGCTAACACCATGTTATAGAACTTTCATTTTTCCAGCCCCTGGGCTTCAGTTACAGAAGCATTTCAAAAACTAACACCCACAACCCTCATGGTGATGAGGATGCAAGCATGTCCATGCAAATTTGAAACTAGTATTAAATATGAACTCTGGAGTGCTTGCTATCTGTGCAACTGTACTGCTTTGGTAAGGACAAGGAGCAAGCTAGCACACTGCATTTAAGTGAGTTAACCAACTATAGTGTTCTTAAATTTTAATATATCAACGTACCTTTCGATTTCTGAAAGAATGGATTCATATGGTCTCAACTCAATCCCTGCATTCTTCAAGTAATCCATCACTTTTGGGGTGACTTTAGAATTATCAACAAACAATTTTGCTTCATCAATTTCCACGATTAAGTATGCATACATGACAGGTGAATGTGGAACATCATTACCACGCTGGAAACCAGATTTAGAGCATCATTACAACATTGGACAACAAATAACATCAACAACAATCAAGTATGAGCTATAAAAACAGGAATGAAAAATGTGGTAAAACGGTGCGTTGATCCCAACCCATATCCTATTACCGCTAAAATACAAAATGTGAAAAACCGATTAAATGCACTCCTTCTGAGATTGCTGGAACTTGCCTCCTTTGCTTTTGTTTTTTTGATTGGTTTTTTTTTTCGCTTAATAGGTGTATAGAAGAGGGGAGAAAAATGGGTTTCAAAGACACTGCTTCAGATCTCTCTCCCTCAAATAAATGCATTACACACAAGCATGCACACACTAAGTTTGTCCAAGGCATTCGATTTCCCCTCTAATTTATCTGTATGTAATAGGTTCTGTCTAGAAATTCTATAGACAAGATCTTTTTTCCCTTTTTGAGTAAACTGAATACATTTACTACTTAGGATATGTCAGATCACTGATAAATTATGAGTGACAGTTTATGGCCATTAATTCTTTTCCCTTGAGCTTACAAAAATATAGTAATGTACTGTGAGTCTGTGAATTATAAGTGGCGTGCTCAACTAAACATTTTTATGCTAATAACTTTTATTTTGGGTGAGAGCTCACATGTTCTCAAATGATTAGTTGGCTCACAAGCCTATTTCATCCATATATTTATCCTAATTTTCTAGATTGTTTCTCAAGTTATAGGCTTGTTTGCATTTAAATACATGAGTATTTGTAGAATACAAAAGATTATTACTTATCAGCTTTCTCATTTTTAGAATCCTGTATTCTTAATATGATACAACCATCCAAGCCTGATGATACCACCTCCCTCCAACCAGGGCAGGTCCAATTATATAAGAGGCCTAAACCAAAAATTTGAGATGGCCCTAAAACTCTTTTTTGGGATTCTATTTTTTTTATTTCAAAATTCATATTTCTAATAGGTATGCTCGAGATTAAAGACTATTTGTAGAACAAATACCTTAAACAAATTATTATGCTACGATTAAAACTACTTAAACATAGAGGTCAAAAAAACAAAATCGTCGTCATTGGACCATAGATTGAGAGAGTAGATTCTTGTAATTCTTTATGAAACAAAATGGTGCAACTTGCTTTTTGAAATAATTATATATTTACATGAAAAATGGTGTGATTTGCTTTTTAAAGCAATTACAAATTTAAATAAAAAATTTATTTAGAGAGAACTAGAGAAAATAATAAAGGAATAAATGCGATATGGAATTAAGGGGCAGAAAATAGCATTGAAAAAAATCCTTATAATCATAAGATACACACGACCCACAGTCGAAACAAAAAATCAATCTTTTTCTATAAAGCTCAATGATCATAATGACACAACTAGTAGACCTTTTATCAAAATAAGATTTGATTGAGGGATAGTTATCAGTATTGAATGATCCGTGACACGTATCTCACAATGCTTTTCGATACAATAAACAACCGATTTGTTACATTTGTATCTACGGGTTGCATCATTTTTCCCCATATCTTACAATACATGATGTGAGAAAAACTATACGCAGTGCATCCTAAATGTATTTTACAGATGAATATTTTCAATTTTTTGATAGTATGATGTAACATCCTAAATCTATTTTTTATTTCTTTTAGGTTCAATCTTATGATTTTATAAAGTGTAGGAAAATGGGGCCCTAGGCAAGCATCACTCGCAGAGGTTGGGCCGGCCATGCCTCCAACTCCTGCCCCCAAAACACTTGGCCAGTTTAAAAAAACATCCAACGTAGATTTTTCGTTTAAGTAGCGGCATTCTGCCGTTTGGACAAACTGATAGCACAAGCACAATGTTTGTATATAAACCTCATGGCTACTGGAGCGTGCCTAAGAAAGATAGGTATATTACCAAGTTCAACAGCCAGGCAACTTCATCAAGCATAGAGACAACAATTCCCGCCGAGCCAGCATCAATCAGTTCTGACCTCAGGGAAGACAGTTTTGATGACACGTCTAAACCAGCATACTTTACATCATGCACTCTAATTGGTTTGCTTGGAGGCTTCGGCCTTGATTCTTTCCATACTTGATCCACGAGATTAAAATCCGTTAAGTAGACCAACTCGTGATTCCTTTTAGATATGGCCTCCTTTAATTCTTCTGCAGCATCAGAAGAAAAAAGAAACTGCTCCCTTCACAGAAACAAAGAGAAAGTGGCATCAGACAAGCAAGTATGAAGAATGGAGGTCTACATCAGTATATTGAGACACAAATATCCTAAAACATTAAATACAAAGGAGAGGGGAAGCAAAAGATAAAATCATACAGCAAGAAAACCAATATGTATGTGCTAAAAAAAGGCATTGCAATTGACAAAAATGCAGGGATGAGCAATTGAGAACCTATCTATGAATTTAGGCAGCAAGAGAAATCCTTCAGTGTGCATACACATCAGATTCATGGAAAAGAAAATAAAATGAAGAAGCCCAACAAAGCCAAACAGACTCTCCCAAATCCTCTGATAGGGAACCAAAAATCCCCTCAAACGCTATCTTATTCTTTAATTATAATCAACGTTCCCATTTTCCATTCTCATAGTATTTCCCTTGGTCTCCAATTCCGAAGAACTTCCCAAAACTCATATCTTTCGCATAAGGAGTCACAGCACCAAGATCTAAAAACTTGGATCTTCACTTAATCCACCCAAGTCTCCAACTTAATCACTGTAAAAATTTATGCCCTCATCTGTGTTTCATGAATCATAGTCCTCGAAGATGGCATGGTAATACTTTCAATATAAGCTACATGACACACACAAAAACTGGAAACAAGGGGAAATCTCAATTTAAAAGGTTAAAACCTGTCTGAAAAGTTTCATTTTACAATTGGATAAGATAATTTGCCCTGGAATTTGATAACCAACAATCTGGTGACACAACATCAAAAGTCGAGTATTACTCACAGGATCAATGCCAATTCGGCAACCAGGAGCCAAAACATCATTTAGCCATTCACTGGTGGTAGGCACCCCCAAATTACCTGCTCGCATGAGAATCCAGCTAGAGCTCAACTGCTTCTCTGCCTAAGCAGAACAAAAAGAGACATTAACAAGAAGACAGTATGCCTCAGGCAAGAAGATACAGCAATAGCCAGATACTAGTTACGAATCATGTTCACATTTCATACCTGGAGAAAATATCGCCCGTCTGTCCAAAGAGCTGCTTTATCTTTCGTGACAACAGCAGTGCCAGCACTACCAGTAAAACCTGATATAAAGGCTCTCCTCATATAACATTCAGCAATGAACTCACTCTAGAAACCAAAACAGATGGCAATCAGAAGTGGTTATAGGAAACATTTACTTGGAGATTTTAGTTATTACTGCATCCATAATAAAACAACATGAGCCCAATAAGCTGACAATCAAGAATTTGGATATGCTAAATGTACTCACCCTTCAAACTGGAAGAGGATAGGTGAGAAAAATTTTGGTCATGGTGAAAATTAAGAGGAACTGCTGAAAGTGTAATAGTGAATTGGAATGATATCCTTTCTTGAAATATTGTGAGACCTACTCATAGGAAGGAAATGTACCATAGATGGCCAAAATATGAGGTAGGCTTATGATGTTTTATTAGGCATGGGCCAACCAACCAAGATAATGATCAGGGTTCAAATGCAAAAGTTTGAGTTTTAGATGGACAATGGCAGGCCTTGTTTAGGAACTGATGAATGATTGGAAATCTTCGCATGACTCCTAACGTTTACAAAAGATCAGGTGATTACATCAATATACCAATTTCCACATTATGCACTACCTTTCGAAATTTCTGGTGGTCAGACCAGTCAGCCTAATGCACACATAAAAATTAAACTATATGAAAGATCCAGGGACCAATTGGATACGCAATAGGAAATATTAATACAGGAGAGCAAACATATCACCAAAGTAGTGCTGACTCCAAACTCTTTACCAATCTATAGTTCTTTTGAAATTGTGAGTGCCACAAAGGAGAAAAAGCTGAAGGAGCAAGACTTCAAATGGCCACTATTTTTGAAACAAAAACTTCAATAACATCATGTTCAAACAGAGGTTTGCTTTTAGACACCCAAGCCTCCACCAAATTGAAAGCTTGTAGTTCACCATTAATTGCAACCAGGCACAAAGTAGAAGATTACTTCTTGATTTAATTGAAAGTTATTGCTTAGCATTAATTGGAGGGAAAATAAGGAATTATCTCCCTATGGTTTATCTTTGTTACAAATTACATCTCTATACTGTGAAAACCTACACATAACCTTTGTAGTTTTGAACCAGAGTGAAACCATTTGTTGTTTCCATCCAAATGTTCAGAATATGAACATCATGTGCTGAAAATGTGTTGTAGGGTTGTTTAATGACCAAAATTCCCATATGGAAGCCGCCCTCTTCCCCACCTCTCTGGCAGTCCCCATCCCCCCAGCACAACAGCCCACATCTGATCTCTAAGCACTTGCCCAAATGACAAGAGGACTCAGCATTCCAAAATGATTGAGTGAGAAAGGAAGACAAATACAATTGTATATACACACAAATGTGTATGCCATCACGAGATAGGCCCCATCACCAATTTATTCGATTGGGTGGATCTATATGCTCCGGGGTGATGAGATGAGGTGTAGTGCAGTTTGGTTAGCGCATCTGTTTTGGGTACAAAGGGCCATATGTTCGAATCCTGTCACCTTAATGTGACACTAAAGTTAGGAAATACTCAAATATAAACCAAATAGGAAACCAACGGAATAGCCCAATGGATTGCGATCCAAATCTTATTTGAGGGTTTCAGCAAACTTGGGTATCATTCCAAAAGAAAAGTGTTTTTTTAAATATAGAGTGAGATCTGAAGAAAGGATTATTAATAAAAATTGGTGAAATTGAGTTCTTTGTACCTTATTGTTGTATAATCATGAGAAGTGATTTTGATTGACTCAGCTTTTTATCCTTTTTCTCTTTTCCATGTTGATTTAGAAAGTCAAAACTCCTAGTACTTTAATAAGTACACATATTTCACTTAGGTTTCAAATCTATTGCATTGTTTCGTTTGTTAAAACATTTGTTAATATAATATATATACTCTAGAAAAAACCACATGTTTGAAGATACTATACAATATCAAAAACCGAACTGATCTTGTAATATTTGTATTTTAAATAATAATTTAATTTTTTTAATTACGTAATTTAAAATTAAAATGAAGAGAGCGGTAGGTATGGATTGATGTGATTGTTTGAAATTGGGGAGTTGATTGGTGGGGTTGTTTTTCATTGAGAGTCATCCCGAGAAATTAATGTTTTTGGGCAGAAAAAAAAAATTTGGATGAATTTTGTACTATTGATCAAAGTAGATGAAGATTGGATCCATTTTGACCATTTTTATGCTTTTATAAGTTGAATTATCAGCTTTCTAATTGTAATATTAGATAGATGTAGAAAGAGTGTGTGTGTGTGCTCCATGTGTTGGAGAGTGTGTGTGTGTGAGCAAGGGTGAGAGGGAAGGAGAAAGAAAGATGACGTTGTTTGGTTATAGCCTTATATAGGTATACTCCAGTTCGATCAGGGTTAAGGGTTAATAATTTGAATAAAGAGCGCGATGGATAAAGAGTAATTGAGTCATTTTCATGCATTCGATTTATTGGGATTGAAAAATCTAATAGTTCACTTTGGTCCAAAACCACATGGTCATGGTGTTATGTGCAGTTAAAAAAATATAATGAGGTAATTTGTAACTGTACTAAACCATAGTAAGACCAACAATATAGTGTGGTAATCTGTAACTGGACTAAAACATAGAGAGATAATCCATAATTTATCCTAAATTGAAATCAGGCATTAAAAAGGCCTTTTGCGAATTATCAAGTCACTAAATGCTCTTCTCCACAAGTGCCTTTATAGGATTCCATCCCAAGGGGGTCAAACAATAGCACAGTTAAGAATATTATTAACTCGATAAACAGTTATACAAAACTTATTATAAAAATTAACTTTCATACAATACCATTGTAAAAAATTAGTTTTTGGCAGTGTCATGATCCTTTTATTCCCACAGTATGATATCATATAAAATAATAGTTTCGCCCGGTAAGATAGTAGAAGCGAGTCATGAATTAACACATATAAGCCACATTTGCAATCTAATTTTGCAAAAAATTCAGAGTCTTTTTAATTTCCTTTGATCATCAACCTTGTCAAACCAAATATCTTCGGTTGTAAAATCTTCACTCATCCATGGAGTTACATCTCCCATTTAGCTATTAAATATCAATTCATTGGTCTTTTCAAATGCACTAAGTGAATTGTCTATACGTAAAGTCTTTTAGAAACCTAATGGGAAACATGGAATTTTTAAAAACTTCTAGAGTGTTATAGAGATTTTTGAAAATGAGAGGGGGTCCATGAACCCCCTAGGCCGCTTCTCCGTTCTGTCCCTACCTTTATAGATATATTCCATGCAAAAAGAATTTCTATGAAAATTACAAGCACACAAAGTACTTGATATACCTTCCAATTCAAATGACATCCTTAAAGTGAATGCCTCCCATTACAACAGGTGCTTACTTGCTTGAAAAACTAAAACGTTAAATCTTATCATCACCTCTTTCTCATAAACTGTCAAGTAGAATTACCAAAAAAAAAAAAAAATGTGCGTAATTTGGAATCAACAATATTTGGAAATCAAAATATCATGGTAAAAAATGTTAAACTTATTTCCTTGAGTGTAACAACAAAACCAAGCTTTGGGAATTTTTTTTCTTCCAATAACACATGCAAACAAATGTATATAATTGCATAAAAATTGCGAAGTGAATCTGCCATGTCCAGTAATCTGAAATTTTTTGATAGTGCGACCCAAAACAGACCTGATTTGAACCCATTAAACAAGCTTGTATCCATACTATTTCATCAAAGACGGAATGAACCCAAGATTACTATAAGTTCGAATTCAATGTGCCAATAAACATACAACCAATGCTAAGCATATGAAATACACTCATATAATTTTTTTTAAAAAATCACCTTTTTCACCCAAGGACATTGTTGCACTTTCATGCCACATGAATAGATATTTTAGTACTAAGAGCCTAGAAAACAACAACCATCAAAGCAATTACTCAAGATTTACAAAAGCCAATTCAGATTTCACACTGAAACATCAGTTTAATATCTAAAAACTACAACATTCTACTATAGCTTAGCCTAAAGAGGAACAAAAACTAAAGATATAGCTTAAAACAAAAACAAAAACAAAACAAAAAAGTTCAAATCCAACACTGAAAAAAAATTACAAAACTAAAATCTGAAAAAAAAAGACAGAAATTTAACAGAAATTATAAATTAAACCTGATGAGCGTCCTGGGAAGGAATGACATAGGCGTCAATGCCGATTCCGGGTTTCGAGAAGAGATCGCGGAGAGCCCGAAGTTTCTCGTCTTGGTCTGAGTCATTGTGCTTCTTTCTAAACTCAGAGGAGGGCTTGGCGGTGATTGAACTCGAGTTTCTGACAGCGAAAACAGGGCGGTTTGGTGATTTTGGGGACATTTTGGGTAGCGACTTGAAATTATGGAACATAGGGAGTGAGCGGGGGAGGAAGCGAAAGCAACGAGGTGGAAATAGGGAAGAGCGATGGATTCCATCGCTGTAGTGATGGAGGTGTCTAGAGAGGGGAAGCGACGACGTTAGCGATGCTCTCATGGTGAGGGGAGGGGCTGGGCGAGGAGACAGGGAGGAATATGATAAGATAGACTTGAGTAGCTGCAGTCCTAAGTTAGTTTAGTGATTATTGAACGTCTAGGAACACAACTTTCTTTATGGATTCCACGAATATAATTTATAATTTTTTGAAATTAAGTTATATTTTTTAAAAATTTGGTGGTAGAATTAATACTTGAACTCTCAAATTAGATTCACAATACACTGAGGCAAAGATTATAATTGTACTATTTATTACTATTTGAGAAAGGCAAATGTGGTAGAAGATGTTTTGAGCCAAAAATCATCTGAATTACTATCCTATGTGCAATGTGGGTGTGGAATTCAAGTTAATGGGAGATGATACAATAATGGGATAAATTAAAATTAAATCGCTACTTGAGGACCGGCCCGTGACTCTTAGTTATGAAATTTATTTGCAAAGTTGATGAAGGAAGAAATTAAAGGTGAGCGCCAGACTGATTTCAAAGAACGAGAAGATGATGTTTTGATATTAGGAAATCATCTTTATGTACCCAACGACCTAGAGTTGAGGTGTGAGATTTTAGAGGAGGCGCACCATTCTATCTATGTCATGCATTCGAGGAGCACCAAGATGTATCGTGATCTCTAGGATTATTACTGGTGGATGGGTATAAAACGAGAAATAATTGAGTATGTATCTAGATGTCTGGTATGTCAATAAGTGAATGTGGAGCATTAATGACCTGCGGGACTACTTCAACCACTCTTTATTCCAGAACGAAAATGAAAGCATATATCGATGGATTTTGCGGTAAGTTTGCCCCAAACCCAGAAGAGACATGACTCCATTTGGGTAATAATTGATCACTTAACTAATTCCAGTCATATTCTCCCAGAAAAATGTGACGTCCTTAAAAACGGGGGTCTTTTGTCAACCCGTTGATCAACCATCAACCCACAAAAGTACCCGTTAATGTCGCATAACTGACACTATGTCATAACAACCCCTTCATCAGGATCGTAATCAACACAGAGTTTAGGCAAAGTCTCTTTTGTACCGGGCATTCCTAAACATATAACTTGTATTCAATCATTTGACTATCCCAAGGTCCGATATACATCAATTTGTCCTTAATATTAATCCATTTACATCATTTGAACAAAAGGACTCAAGACCCAAAGGTTTGACAAAGTTATATTAAATTTTGAAAATTTTGGAGGACCTATCGGTAGATCATGTACGTTCTACCAGTTAGATCAGTTCTCTAAAATTTTTCTACCATTAAATAATCAACATTCTACCGGTAGATAAGTCCTTTGGAAATTTTCTACCGATAGATCAAGACTTTTCTACTAGTAGATGAGCCTAATTTTCCCCCAATTTAATCCTTTTTTAATTTCAACTCATTCAATTTCATACAACATTCACTCCAACTCATATAACATCAAATTTTACACAAAATATAGTTCATATGAGTTCGTTTTGCAATCTTTTATATAACGTTGCATATCCAAAATCAATTACATGATTGTTTTATAAAAATATAATTTAAAGCCACAACTCAGCTTTCTTCATCAATGTGGGCTCAAGTGAGAGCCGTCCATCGGCGCTTGTCCCGCACCTGAAATGTTTTCCCCATAAAAGGTGAGTCATGCTCAATAGAGTATCTCCTAAAGAGGCTACTCCCCAACCTAAATGCATATGAAATGCTCACATGCAATTCAACAATCAAATAAACATTCATCCAAAAACATACAACTTCAAGAACAAATGTCATGTCATGTTATGAGATGAGACTCATACATGCATCGTAACCTGAGTCTTCACCGGCTCCCATAACACATGCAATGTCATACATATGAATCCGGGCATTCCAAGCCCCCGCCATTGATGTTGCACATCCAATGACCATTTATAAATTTAAGGTCTTTATTGAAATGGGTATTTATGGACTTCCACTAATGGGCACCCAATCGACATGACATTTATGCACCTCCACCAACGGAAATGCATATCCAAATCACCGGGTCTTGCACCTGAGGGACAATCTAGTCCTTCTTACTAACCCCGACCTCATTTTTAATGCAACTCACGTGACTCAGTTGAACCTTAACCCAACTTTTCTGAGCCCATGCATCATCCACCAAGAATGGTGTTTGATCAAACCATGCACACACCCACACTCATGCCAATTGCCTACGAATGTAACGTTACCCGTGCATATGCAAATGTAATGAACAATTGCATTTTCACATCATCATGCAATTAAGTTCTCAATTGCAATTACAAATACCATGTTCAACCTTTAATAAGCCCAATATGCACATTACTCCATCTCAAACAACAATCTCAATGGTTAATTATATCATAAGCATATAATTACAATTTACAACATCATCAATTTCATTCAAATAACATACTCACTTCATTCAAGACATTTTATCAAACACCCAAAAGACACAAAATTATGTAAACACATAGTCATGCCCAATTTATCACATTTCTCATGAATTTATCAAACAAACAAATTTCACAAACTCAATTCATGCAAAATTGGTTTAACACATTTTTATACTTATTTTTCATACTCTAGTTACATTAGGAGTACATCAAATAAGAGAATTCGTCTCTAATCAAACTACCCATTTCATATGCAACCCTAGGTTGAAAATAAACCTAATTAGGAGAAGAACCCTACCTCTTCAAGCGTGATACAAATGATAGAAATTCCAAGAAAACCAAATCAATCTTCAAGCCTTGATTTTCAAAAATTCTGTCTTTGAGACTTTTTCAAAATCCCCAATTTTTAGTACGTAGACATAGCTTTCATTGAGTAGATGAATTTTTGTTCTTGACCCAAAGGATTCCGGCCAAATGTTGGCCTTAGATCTCAAGAAGAAGAAGAAATCATTGATTTTCTCTCTCTTCTTCCATTTTTCTCTCTATTGAAATTCAGCACCCAAATTGGGGAAAAAATATAATTTTTTCCCCTTTTTATACCCCTTGGATGCTTGGCCCACAACGCATCATATGTCCCCGCTTTTTACTAATTCGATTTCGTCCCGAATCAATTTAAATCTCGTCCCGTTTTAAGTTCAATATATTTTATTTGAACTAACTTTAAATCATTTGTCTTAATTTCTCAATTAAAACCCGATCACATTTTTTTTGTCACACGACACCTATCATATTGTAAAATGTAAAAAAATTTAACTATCTCAGAACTCAACAAAAGTTGACTAGGTAGCTAGATTTCGGGAGATAAATCCAACGGTGAGGTCTGTTTTGTCATCTAAATTCTAGAAAAATTTAAATTTTCAACTCGTACCATAGCGACTAATTACCATTTAGCCCTTTTTCATAAAAATTTAAAATTTTTTGAGTTTTACATTCTTTCCCTTTAAAAGAAATTTTGATCTCGAAATTTACAAACACGCGCACATTCAATTACATGCATATACAACAGTCATATAACACTTAATAATCACAAAAATGTACCTCCATCCTCGAACAAGAATGGATAACTGACATATATACTGTCTTCACGCTCTCATGTCATCTCCTCCACACCACGGTGTTGCCACAACACCTTCACCAGCCTCAGGGTTTTGCCTTGTAAAACCTACTTTCGGCTATCTATGATCACACTGGTCCTCCTTGAAAATCCCATCCCCGTCAATAACTAGTTCACCCCAATTCACCACATACTTAGGACCTGGAGTGTACTTCCAAAGAGTGGAGACATGGAACACCGCGTGAACACCTGATAAATTTGGTGATAACACCAACCAGTAAGCAACTGTGACAACCCTCTTGAGTACCTCAAAAGACCTAATATACCTCGGCGACAGCTTTCTCCGTTTCTCGAACTTGACCACTCCTCTCTTGGGCATCACTTTCAAGAAGACGTGATCACCAACCTCAAACTCTAAAGGTTGTCGTTGTTTGTCGGTGTAGCCCTTCTTTTGGCTCTGAGCCGTAAGAAGACGCTTTTGTATCAAGTCGACCTTTTTCGATGTGTCTCTAATCAAATCTAGACCTGTAGAGGGTTTTTCTCCAACCTCTGTCTAACAAATTGGAGAATGGCACAACCTCTCATAGAGTGCCTCATAGGTGTTATCTGTATGCTCACTTGATACTTGTTGTTATAGGCGAACTCTACTAAGGGTAAGTACTCTTCTCAACTATCTTTGAAATTAAGGACGCATGCCCGTAACATATCCTCTAAAGTCTGGATGGTCCTTTTTTACTGACCATCCATCAGGGAATGAAAAGTTGTGCTCATCATCAACTGTGTCCCTATGGCCCACTAGAAACTCCCCCAAAAATGGGCTATGAACATGGGATCCCAATCCGATACTAGATATGAGCACCCTATGTAACCAAACTATCTCCCGTATGTACAACCTGTAAAATTCCTCTAATGTGAAGGCCTTTCGCATTGTTAAAAAGTGTGTGGACTTCATAAGCTGGTCCACTATCACTCACACCATGCCTGCCCCAACGATGTCCGTGGCAAGTAGGTCACAAAATTCATTGTGACATGTAGCCACTTTCCCTCAGCCACCTCCAAAGTTTGGAGTAACTCTACTACTCTTTGGTGCTCAGCCTTGACCTACTAACACGTGAGACATCTACTAATGGTCCTGACAGCGAAGATTATGATACATCTTCGTGCCACTTGGATGCACAGCAAAATGGGAGCAATGAAACTCCCTAAAGATCTCATATCTCAGATTTGTAGATTAGGGAACCATAACCCTTCCCTTGAACTGAAGACGACCATTCATGTGAATGGCCTAACCTTCGTCACCTGTACCTGACTGTACCCTATCTCTGATGGACAATATCTTTGTATTCTATCCCTGGGACTCGATCACCCTGTTTAGTAGGGAAGGCGTAGCCACCAAACTCTCAAAAGTGCCCTAAATCCAACCCCTGTAATGTAGCTCGAACTGTCCCCACAGTCTCGAGTATCTACCATTCCCATGAAGTCACACTAGCCAAGACTCCTTGT